TGAGTCGGAAACGACTCGACGGCACATAACAACAACAACATCCTGCTTGTGGATATGACTCCAATAAAATGAGATGGTAATAACATAGACGATGATGATAAGACTCATAATACCAATGACATTTTTAATTTCTGTGGGAAATTCTTTGGTTATTCTTTCTCCACATTGACAGCGGGAACCCAGGACAGTTAAGGCAGATGCACAAGGTTGGGTGAATGGTTATAAAGGGGTCAGAATTTTTCTACTGGATGAAGGGAGAACAAAGAAACTGGGAAGTAGTAACCAGAGTGGTAGGAATTCAGTTGAATTTTCTAACAACAGGAATCAAAAGAATAGGAGGTTTTAGGAATGAAAACTCCTTGGATGCTGCAAAGGAATGAGATAAAATGAGAATGAAAACCTACTGGAATTTAGAATCATAAGCCTTGCGGGTTAAACAGCAAAGTAAGCTATAAGTCCAACTCAGGCTGAAGGAGGATGCTCTATCTTTTCTTTCCTTGTCCAGGAACCAATTGGATGATCGAGATAGTTGGTCTCATCCATTGCAAAGGAAATCCTACATGGACCCATTCTGTTTTGAGCTGGGAACGCTCACCATGGTTAGAATCAATTGGTGGATACAGATATGTTAAAAATAATAGAAATGATGTACACTTCTATACCTCCCACCTCCCCATTCAACTCTTCCCCAAGTCGTTCTTCAATTCCAAGGCCAAGGTAAGCAAGTAACAGTAAATGATGCTGAATAGAATTTTGAAATAATTGCAGCAATATTATTGACAGGCAATTGTCAGAAGGTAAAACTGGATTTAGAAGATGTATACCCTTGATTGATAACAGACATTCAACATGAACTTGAGTACTAACAATTGATGGATTGTTCTGCAATCAGCCTATAGCCTTGAGATGACCCATGTATCTTTCCACAAACCAAGTAAATTTGATCCTTCTGCATCCTATCTGCTGTTGCCCTCATGTATAGGCATCATTTACGTGATTGGAAGACAAGGTATTTGCAATGAATAGGTCACTGGTCTCACAAAATTCTATCATACTCCATTCAACTGCAGATAACAATAAAAGCAACTTTGATAAGTTGTATCTGGGTTTTTTTTATTAAATTTTATTAGTTTTAATGAACATTTACAGAGATTTGGGGTTTTCATTCATTCATTGTTGCACTGTTTTCTCCACCCTCATCCCCAGTTCATTCTTCTTTCTCCCCCCCCCATGTCTGTTTTAATTGTCCAATTGCCACAGTGCTTATCAAAGCCAGTTCTGATTAATCTCCTTTGTCAGTGTGTCCCTTGCCATTCCCTATCACTCTTCCCTGAGAGAGACTTCACCCTGATTCCTAAGGAAAAGGGGATGGTGTATTCTCTTAGCTACTTCCTGCTGAAAAGGGACGCTGTGGGTTTCAGGGTGAATGTCTTCTCTCACTACTCCAAAGGGCCCAGGAAGGAGTAGGCTGGAAGGATGAATGGAAAAGAGAATTCGAGAGAGAAAGTGAGAAGAGTGTAATTCCTTTGTGGATTCCATTGTGAATGTGGTCATCAATGTTATAAAACATAATGAATACAGAGGGTTGAATGGAAAACGAATTTGCTTTGTAAATTTTTATTCAAATAAAAAAACCAAACTATGAGCAACCAATTGACGGCACAAAACCAAACCAAACCAAAACAAAATTCTATCATACTATCTCCAAGTGTTTTTGTCTCTAATGTTATGTTTTCCATCAAGCTAATCCTTCTTTGTTTACAACTTTTTCAGTTCAAACCACCAATAATTATGAATACCGTTTGGTTTCATGCTTGACCAAGTGCAGACTTGGAGAATTTTATAATCATCTTCAATTTGTTTGTCTTTGGCATGAGTGAGATGGAGAAGTTTTACTCATTTCCTTGGACATTATCCTTTAAATTACTATTTTATTGCCTAACCTAAAGCCAATACTGTTTGTCTTGATACCCCCTAGAAGTTTTGTAACTTCACTTCTTATACCTTCTTTTTTTGTATTGTAATCCTCATTTACCTAGTCATACCTCTGGCTCCCTTCTTCTATTATCGTGCATTGTGTGCTTCTGTGTTGGTGTCAGTTTCTGAATGGCATTCATTTCCATCTTTTGACGCCTTTTATCAATCAGGTGGGTCAGGAGCTAGTCTTTAAGCTTACCTGATGGGTAGAACTTCAGTAGGAGTGCATGTGGCTGGATACTGTTGCTGTCTGCTGTCCTGGGGGACAAAGGAAAGGGGAACAGACACTCAAAAGCAACAGAAAACATGTAATAGACATAAACAATAGTTGATAGTGAAAGAAAATGGAAAGGTCCAAACAAACAGGGTAGAAAATGAAGAAGAGTCAGAATGAAAAAGGAAGAAAGGAGGAAAAAAAGAGACGAGGAGAGAGTACAAGAAAGAAAAAGCAAGAAAAGTTTGCAGGGGAAAGAGGAAAAGCTAGAAAAAAAGCAAAGCAGAAGATTTGGGGAAGTAGAGAGGAAAAACCCAAACAAGAGCAAAATGGAAAGCAAACAAAAAGAAACATTAAAAACAATGAACTTTTTAACAACTATGAGATAACATCTCACCCCAGTCAGAATAGCAAAATTTAACAGAACAGCAAGCAACAAATGCTGGAGAGGTCGTGGAGAAAGTGGAACCCTTATTCACTGCTGGTGGGAGTGTAAAATGGTGCAACAACTATGGAAGGCGGTATGGCACTTTCTCAAAAAGTTGCAAATAGAAATACCATATGACCCAGCAATTCCACTACTAGGATTATACTCTAAAGAAACCATACCTGCCACCCAAGCAGATATAGGCACACCCATGTTTATCGTGGCTCTGTTCACAATAGGAAAGAGTTGGAAACAACCCAAGTGCCCATCAACAAATGAGTGGATAGAGAAGCTGTGGTATATTCACTCAATGGAATATTATGCAGCGCTAAAAAACAAAGGATTCATGAACTCTTATAGAAAATGGGTGATAATGGTTGACATTACGCTGAGTGAAATATCTCATTCACAAAAAGACAAATACTACATAATGTCATTGTTATAAAACAACCCTGACAGGGGGTTTGGGGGGGAAACTAAGAAAAGAAGGAGTAATAATGTACATGGCATTGAAACAGATGAGGGAGAGAACTGTACAAAAGGGATATATGATTAGGTATTATGCTGAGTGAAAGATCTCAGTCACAAAAGGACAAATACTGCATAGTGCCCCTGTTGTAAAATGGGACTAACATCAGGGTTGGTGTTGGGGGGAGACTAAGAAAGAGGGGATAAATAATGTAGACTGCATTGAAACAGATGAGGGAGAGAACTGTTTAAAAGGGATATATAATTGGGTATTGTCATGACAGGAGTCCAGAGTGAAGGCTGCACAGTGGAGTGGACTTGGGGAGAGGGATTGTATAACAATGAAAGAATTTTTCTTTTACTTTTCAAAGAGAAAAGGGAACTGGGGCTGGGTGGGGTGGGTAGGGGGGAAAGTGCAAAAATGAATGAATGGAAATCCAAAATCTCTGTAAACTCTCATCAAAATTAATAATTTTTTAAAACCCCAATGAACTTTTTAACAAATGTCAACTAACAAGGGAGACCTTGGAGAGGGGTGAGCTGAGACCCTGGTTGGTGCACACATGTCACTGCCGTGTGGAGGAGGAGAAACCAGAGGGAAGACCCAGCACAGAGTTTCTGCTGCTCAGACAGAAGGGGGAAGTGCAAGTGCCCGGTCAGGTCCTGCTGGTCTCAAGGATGGCGCTCTCTGTTGACGGTGTACGGACTCGAGTATGGCCATGTCATACGCCAGGCAAGGGTTCCTGGTGCAAGGCAAGGACCTTACCTAGAAGTTGTGTTATCAACAATCCAGGGAACAACTGCAGAGCAGGTATGGAACAGCCATCCGGTTCCTAGTAGGAGACCTGAAGTGGAGAACGGTGCCGGCTACTCGTGCCAGGTACAGAAATAGCGCAGGTCTAGTCTCAGTGGAGCTGGGATGAGGGAGAGTGGTGCCAGCCGCCCAGCGACGGAGGTGGAAAGACAACATCTTGATTTTTGAGAGAGCCTGGGCACAAAGAGGGATAGTGCCCCTTTTCTATTGTCAGCTACCTGCCGACGTGGGCACTACTGCCATCCTGAGTCCCTACACTGAGTAGACAGCTGTCCAAAATCCCCAGAAGGTCCTGAGTTTCTTCTGTCTCCTCTTTCTATTCTATGCTTTTCTCTTATTCTATGTTTTTGTTCTATGTATTTTCTATTTTCCTTCTGATTATATTCAGTCAGTGTTTGAAGTGTTTAGTCATTTCTTTTTTTAAATTAATTTTAATGAAAGTTTATGGAGACAGGGTTCCCAGCTATTCATTGTTGCACTTTTCTCCCTGCCCCCCAATTCACTCTTCTCCTTGATGAGTAAAAGAAAAACTCTTTAACTGCTGTGCAATCCACCCCCCAAGTCCACTGCACTCTGCAGCCTTCATTCTGGACTCCTGACATGACAATAATATCTAATCACATTTCTCTTTTAAACAGTTCTCTCCCTCATCTGTTGCAATGCATTAGACATTATTAAACGCCTCTTTTTCAGTCTCCCCCCAACTTCAATGTCAGTCCCTTTATACAACAGTGTCCCTATGTAATATTTGTCCTTTTTTTGGTACTTTTTTCTAAAATAATTTTAATAAGCATTTACAGAGTTTTTGGATTTCCATTCATTCATTGATGCACTTCTCTCCCTGCCCAGCCCTCTCCCCCGACCCCCAGTTCGCTCATATCTTTCAAAAGTAAAAGAAACACTCCTTCCCTGGTACCCAATCCCCTCGCACCCCTCCCACCGCCCCAAGTAAATTCCACTATGCAACCTTAATGTGGACTCGTGATAACCATAATACCCTATCATACATCGCTTTTAAATTATTCAGTCCCTCATCTGTTTCAGTGCAGTATTCACAATTTATCCAGTTTTTCTCAGTCTTACCCCAACCCTGATATCAATCCCATTTTACAGCAGTGACACCATGCAGTATTTGTCCTTTTGTGACTGAGATATTTCACTCAGCATAATGTTCTCCAGGGTCACCCGTTTTGAATAATATTTCATTAGTTCCTTGTTTTTCAATGCAGCCTAGCATTCCATTGTGTGAATATACCACAGCTTCTCTACCCATTCGTTTGTTGATGGGCACTTGGGTGGTTTCCAACTCTTTGCTATTGTGAACAAAGCCGCGATAAACATGGGTGTGCATGTATCTGTTTGGGTGGCAGTTATAGTCTCTTTGGGGTAATTTCCCAATAGTGGAATTGCTGGGTCAAATGGTATTTCTATTTGCAACTTTTTGAGAAAGTGCCAAACCGCCTTCCACAGTGGTTGCACCAGTTTACACTTCCACCAACAGTGAATAAGGGTTTTAGTTTCTCCACAACCTTGCTAGCATTTGTTGCTTGCTGTTCTGTTAAATGTTTCTATTCTGACTGTGGGGTGAGAGGTATCTCATAGTTGTTTGTAGTCATTTCTTTTTAAGCTCAGAGTTTTGGAATTGTTGATCATGGATGTTAACTTTGCTCTATGGTGTCTTTCATGAACAGGGCTTGAGCTACTGTGAGTCTAGTCTACCAACGTCTCTGAATGTTCTGGGTCACCTCTTGGTGTACTGAGACTGTCAACCTTTTTATTAGAAGCAAGAGTTTATCTGTCTGTACCATTTAGCTATACAGACATCTAATACCTCTAAGCAATACACTGTAGGAGGTTGCACTGCTAATTCAAAGGCCACAGTCTCTCATTCTTTGAATTCACCAGTATTCCAAGGCAGAAAGATGGTTGTCTCTTCCTGTGAGACTTATTGTTGTTGTTGTTGTTGTTGTTATGTGCCGTCGAGTCGCTTGTGACTCATAGTGACCCTATGTACAACAGCCCTAAACTCTGCTGTCCGGTGCCAATCGCACTGTCTCTGACACTCCCATCCCGATTATCCCAGTCACTGAATCAATCCACCTCATAGAGGACCTTCCCCACTGCGCTGTCCCTCCACCCTCCCAAGCATGATGTCCTTCTCCAAGGACCGGTCTCTCCTCACAACATGTCCAAAGTACGTTAGACGGAGCCTCAGAATCCTTGCCTCCAAGGAGCCACCCGGTTTAACCCTTTCCAGGACAAATCTGTTTGTTTTCCTAGCAGTCCATGGTATTCTCAATACTCTTCTCCAGCACCACAGCTCAAAGGCATCAATTCTCCTTCTCTCCTCCTTGGTCATTGTCCAACTCTCTGATGCATAACAAGTGATTGCGAAGACCATGGCCTGTATCAAACACACCTTAGTCTTCAGAGAGACACCATTGCTCTTCAGCACTTTGGAGAGGTCCCTAACAGCAGACTTTCCCATGACAATGTGCATTTTAATTTCCTGGCTGCTAGTGCCAAGAGTGTTGACTGTGGAGTCAAGCAAACTAAAGCTGTGTACAATCTCAATCTCTTCACCATCCATCCTGATGCTGCCAATTGGTCCAGTGGTGAGACTTACAGCTTTAGAAAACCTACTAATGGGTCAGCTATGAGTCCGTTTTTATTCAGCGGCAACAAGAAATTACAATTATCCTTACAAAACCTTCTGGAATTTCTCTTTCAAGTCCATCCTAAAGTCTATGATCTGACTCACAATCAGGCCATTCGCCTGTCTGGAGGACAGCTATCTAGCTAACAGATTGAAAGAGGTCCAATTTATTCCAATTCCCAAGAAAGATGATCCAGCAGAATGTGGAAACTATTGAAGAATATCATTACTATCACATGCAAGCAAAATACTGCTGAAGATCGTTCCAAAACGGTCGGGAAATAGACAGGAAACTGCCAGAAGTTCAAGCAGGATTTAGAAGAGGCTGTGGCACCAGGGATATCATTGCTGATGTCAGATGGATCCTGGCTGAAAGTAAAAAACACTTTATTTATAAATGTCTAGTTATACTTTACTGACTATACAAAGGTATTTGACTGTGTGCATCATAACATGTTAAGGCTAACATTGAGAAGAATGGGAGTCCCAGAGTCCTTAATTGTGAAACTCGTGTGAAACTTAGACCTAGACCAAGAGGCTGGTGTGCTAACAGTGCAAGTCAACACTACAAGGTTTCAAATTAAGAAGGGAATATGTCAGGGTTATGTACTCTCTCCACACCTATTCAATCTGTAAGCTGAGCAAATTATTTGAGAAGTGACTCTTAGGAAGATGAATGTGACATCAAGATCGGAGGAAGGCTCATCAATAACCTGCGTTATGCAGATGACATAACCTTGCTTGAGATCAAAGAATATAGCCTTTGATGTAGATTGCATCTTAATATCGAGAAAACAAAAATTCTTACCACTGGATCGATACAATATCATGAGAGATGGAAAAAAGATTGAAACTGTCAACAACTTCATCTTACTTGGACCCACAATCAACACCAGTAATTAGAAAATCAGGAGACATATTGCACTGAGGGATTCTACAGTCAGGGACCTCTCCAAATTATTGAGGAGTAATGATGTCAGTTTGAGGACTAAGGCATGTATGATTCAGGCCATGGTCTTTCCAGTCACTTGCAATGCATCTGAGAGCTGGACAATGAGTCAGGATGGCAGAAGAAGAATTGATGCCTTTGACCTGTGGTGTTGGAGAAGTGTACTAGATATGCATCCCATGGACGGCCAAAAAGAACAAACAAAGATGTCTTGGAGAAAGTGCAGACAGTGTTCCATGGAGGCAAAGATGATAAAGCTTTGCCTCATATACTTCAGGCATGTTGCTGGGAGAGGCTATTTGTTGACAAAGGACTTGATGTTCACCAAGGTGGAGCATCCGTGAAGGAGAGCAAGAACCTCAACGAGGAGGATTGACGCAGTGACTGCTACAGTGGGCTCTAGTGTGTCAGGAAATGTGAGGGTTGCACAGGACAGGACAGGGTTCAGATCTGTTATTCGTAAGGTCACCATGGGTCATCCACACTCACCTTGACAGCACTTAACAACAACAACATCCAGAAAACAGAAATGATCCCGGCCTTGCTCATTTGCACATCACTGTATTTTAGTTAGACAACACTTGCATTTCATGTTGCTTCAGATGAATGAATGAAAGACAATGGAATTACAGTTGACAGAAAGTGATTCTCTGCCTCCCTGCCCCATCCCGTTATTGGAACAAATTCCCTGAGAGTTGGTAATGGCATATTATTTTTTCCTCATTTCAGGTTATTTACCTAATAAGAAATCCAAGAGACGTTCTTACTTCTGGCTTTCATTTCTTTAAAGCAGTACAATATATAAAGTCTCCAGAGACATTTGACCAATATTTTGAATGTTTTCTTCAGGGAAATGGTGAGTCTGATTTAATTACAAAAACTAGTTAGAAAGATAGTGTCTCAATCTCTCATATCCAGATCTAACAATCTCCTCATGGAAACATATATGACATGGTTCAAACAAACCTAGTTTCTCCTTGTTGTAGATAATAGTCATTGGGTGGGCTCTAATTCAGGGTGAAGTTGTGTATGTGTTGCCACGTTGTGGCTCATTGGTGCAGAGTTTTCTGTAACTCTATCACGTTGAGAAATCTCTTTGGTTTTGCTGGACACTTTCTCCAACACCGCGCCTTTCTGTGGCGATTGGTTTTTCCTAATGACATACAAAATACGGATGTCAAATTATCACCATTCTCCCTAAGAAAGAACATTCTAACTCTATTTCATCCAAGACAAATTTGTTCAATGTTTTTGTAATCCTGGTGTAGTCAATATTATTGACCACCAACAAAATATGAATGCATTCAAAAAATACAAGTGCATCAAAAAATTCTAATGCATCAATTCTCGGGTATTCTTTTTCTATGTCTAGTTTTTACAAGCAAATGAACTACCTGGAAACACCATGGCTTAAGGCAGGTGTACCATAATCACCAAAGATATGTCTTTAACTTTTAAAAGGCTGTTTGTAATAGATTTGTCCCATGAGATATGTTGTATGATGTCTTGACTGCTGCTTATGGGAACCGGTTGAGGTTTCACATAAAGTTAAATGCTGACATACTCAATTTCATTTCAGTTTAATTGAATGTTATGTCCAGAGGCAAATATTTTTGTTTACTTTTATGCTGAGGTGTAATCCATATTTAAAGATCTAGTTTTTTACTTTTATCAGTAAATTCTTTAACTCATCTTACTTTGAAGTAAGCAATGAGAAGTCAGGTAGAACTTACCAATAGCCCTGTATTTTTATTTTTTATCTCTTAAGCTCAGAGGTACCTCTCATTTATTTATTAAAAATCAAAGAAAAAGAATATTCTGGAATTTATCTAAAGGTCTACTTTTCAGCACATATTGAAATGTGCATTTATTTCTTATTTCTGTTGCAACAAATTCCCACAAATGTAGTGATATCAAACAACACAAATTTATATCTTACTGCTTCTGAGATCAAAAGTCTAATTGCTCCGTATTTTTTAAAAACTCAAGTCATTGGTAACATTTCATTCTCCATAGATTCTAGGGAAAAGTCTATTTCTTCTTTTTAAAGCTCTAGCAGTTCAATTCTAGAAACACAAAATCATGATTAGAAAAAGACTCGCTCTTGGTTTGTGTGGATTTACAATCTATATGCAGTGCCAACAAAAATCAGGTAACTTCTAAAGGTTTGGGAGTGTGTATAGACAACCCCCAGGCCCATGTACACACTCATCAGTTACTGAACTTTCTAAGGTGGCAACGAAACTACTACAAAACTGTTGTTACCAACTTTTTTTAACTTTTACTGTGAAATACAGGTTGTTTTTCTGAAGCAAACCAAAGGTAATCTTCTCATGCCTCTTGCTGCCTGCTTTAGCAGTATTTGAGGGAGAATCGTTTATACATCTGTATTTGTAAGAGATGAAAAATCAGATTACAAATCCTTTTATAAAAACCTTAAATAATGTACCAAGTTTTTGTTCTACATTGTGTTGTTGTTGTTGTTGTTATGTGCCGTTGAGTCGCCTGCGACTCGTAGCGACCCTATGTACAACAGCCCTAAACTCCGCTCTGTCCTGTGCCAATCGCACTGTCTCTGACACTCCCATCCCAA